ACATATATATGTAAATATATATATATATATATATATATATATATATATATATATATGTGTGTGTGTGTGTGTGTGTGTGTGTGTGTGTGCATATGTATATGTATATGTATATATCTATATGTGTATATGTATATATCTATATGTGTATATGTATATATCTATATGTATATGTATATATCTATATGTGTGTATATATATATGTATATTCAACCATGACCCCATAGCCCCTACCTTTTACAAATTTTTCGTGTCATGTACCCGCACCGTACCTGTATCTATGCATGTACTAAGTTGCATAAATACGGGCACGGGTACAGGGCACCACAAATTTGTAAAAGGTAGGGGGTATGGGGACACAACTAAGAATATATATTTAACATTTAAGCATTTAAGCATCAGTGAAGTATTTGTCAAAGAATATACAGTTCAATCAGTGACTGTCATATACACTTCTTGGATGACTTCTCACTATAAAGCAATATAACCATATGTTTGTGTATCAATCAGTGTATAATATATCAATTGCACTAGTTAATATTTCAGATGTTGGTTCTGTCGTATACACAACAAGCATCAACATGGAAGAACATGTGTATGTATATTGAAAAAGTTTAAGCATATGAGCTTGTGTGTGGCTTTAGCTACCAATTGTCTGAAATGATACGCATGTCTGTCCAAAAGATATAAACAGATGCACAGAAAAGGACATACGATTTATCATATCAAACAAATACAAACATAAAATTTTAAATTTAACAAGCTTGTGTGATTACCTTCAATTGCATATTATAATCGTAATTAACTATTACACATCACATTTTGTAGTACTTCATGATTTAAAGTTCTACATAACCAAACTTTTTATGAATAAACAATGTATTATATTATAAAACAATATATACTTCTACACATATAGAACAGAAAGTAAACAGAAACTGCATACCAGATTCACCACATGTGGGGGATAAAAGATGATTTGATGTTTGGGATAGAACAGAAAGTAAACAGAAACTGCATACCAGATTCGCCACGTGGGGGATAAAAGATGATCTCATGTTAGTGATTGTGGCAAAGGATGAATGGTGATTGTGTAGAGTTGCACATAGTTGTGTCGAAAAACAGGTCTATTTGAATGTGAATAGAGTACAACAAGAAGGAAAACCTAGTGAACTTAGACGGACACTTAATTTGTACATACAAACACAAGAATTTCTGAACAGTATTAGCAACACAGTGTCAGCTGTTCTTAACACCATGCATCGCCAGAGACTAAAAAGATGATCCATCAGAGATTATGAAGCGTACACCTGAACTACTAATGGGTAAATTTTAGTAGCATGTGATTACTTATAACTACGATAATTAGATAGCCAACAAAAATAAGATATCCACCATCTAAACATGCATCTAAAAGAATCAGTGAATACAAAAAATACAAAATGATAAAACAAGGGTAAGCAAGAACCTTATGGGAGATGCCAGCTCGCACGTAATACTTTTTTGCAATTTCAAGACATCTTCTATCCCTTTCGCATGCAACTAAACAGCCAGATTCAGGTAGGACTAGTGCAACAGCCAATGATGAATACCCCTGAAAATAAGGTAAGTGTGGCAAAATAATTCATATGAAACTGTAACTACAAAGTTAATCTTTTAATCCACATGGACAAGAAGCAGAAAAAACAAATATTTTATAAACTGAACATCTAGGACAAACTAAAGAAAATACAATTAGCAGTTCAAATGAAAATGAAATATAATCCATATTTGCAGACTGAACATACAGTATAGACTCCAACTTCAATACACCGCTGTGCTCCTAGAACCTGGACGAGCATTGCCAACAGTTGGGCCTGATCGGGAGACACCTACTAAAAACAGTGAAACAAATAAGTCAGTAAAACAAGCAATTGCAAGTAAAAAGAATTTAAAATTAAGGACAAAGCATAGTACTACTGACTATTGGGTCTAATTCAGTCGTAAAAGAGAAGTCTCAAATTAAGGTTTATGTTATGCCCTTTGATCACAAAGGAAAAAAAAGGAAAGAAAACAACCAGGAGTTTAAACTCGACTTTTAACTGAAACAATATCTAATTTGCCTCAGGACTAGTTGCTAATTAACTGTGAAGATATTTAAGGCTTAGACAATCTCTCTTGCCGCCATAAGATGGTTGTAGGAAATCACATATACAATAAAAGAAGAACATGTACATAACGATGTCCTAATCAAACTAGACAAGAAAAGTCTATAATTACCTGACTTGCTATTTCAAAGCTTCTACTAGAATCCCAATATATTTTATGAAAGTTTCATCTAGAGAAAGTCTCTCAATCGAATCCACCTGTCATTGAGTTAATACAAGAGATAGGATCTCTAAAGGTTAGGTATTGTCAAACCTTCTTTAGGGTCAAAATAGTACTTAGTTCCCTTCACG